CTTCAATTTTTCAATTTTTAATCTCATTCTTCAACGCGTAGTCTGATTCCGGCCTGAAGCCTATACACATAAAATGCTTAACAGTGCATAAGCATAAGACTATTTGACCAATGAGCATTTTATGTAAATCAATATGACAACTTTATGCTGAATACTTATTGGTCCAATAGTTTTATGTTATGCTTATGCCACAGTATAACAATATACAGTAGCGATAGTAGGCTCCTTTGATGTCGGTGATTACTGTTAACTATGTTAAAGGTTTTACGGAGTGAACCAATCAAGAGACGTTGTAGTAGTTATACTACCCAGACAGCACACAACGTTCATTGGACGTCCAAATCTGCTTTTTATTTAGTCCGAACGTCTATAAACTTAGTACGAATGTTTTAAAAACGTATGTTACGCAATATACAAAATATGTTCATATTTGGACATTTTAAAAATGTTCATCTCATGCAAAAAATTTTCTACATTTACTCGCGACATATTGTTTTCGCTGACTTAACAAGTGAAAATTTTTTTAAGATAGCACGGAGTTTTATTTTTATTAGTATGTACAGACGTCTTCTGAACGTCCCATGGACGTCCCTAGGACATCTGTGTTGTGTTTAAAATTTTCAACAACATAAAAATCTATACTGCATACTATTTAGGTATATTATAGTACATAACTCGTATCAATACGGCGTACTATTATCGACAGGAGAGAGACTGTGGAGATCTCTAGTCGAAGATGAGGTATACATGATAACTGGTACTATGAAAGTACAGTGTATTGGGTATGGGAATAAATTTCCTTTTTAAATGAAAAAGATGTGTTTATTTAAACAAATCTCAAATCAAATATATAAGTGAGTTTATTCAAAGTATGCTCCTTCGGAAGCGACAACTTTCTTCCACCTTTCCAGTAATAAACGGATTCCTCGAATGAAAAAATCTGGTCCTTTTGAAGCGATCCATTCATCAAGCCATTTTTTGATACCTTCATAAGAATTGAATCGTTCTCCAGAAAGGGCAGACTGCATGGACGGAACAAATGGAAATCTGAAGGGGCAATGTCCGGTGAATACAGCGGGTAGGGCAGAATTTCCCACTTTATTTCTTTCAAATATTTCTTGACCGGTTTTGCAACGTGTGGCCTAGCGTTGTCATGTAACAGAATCAGCTTGTTGTGCCTATTGTCCCATTTCGGTCATTTTTCTTTCAAAGCTTGGTTTAAACGTATCAGTTGTAGCCGATAACGCCAGTGACGGTTTCGGACGGTTTGAGCAGCTAATATAATATATAATACCTCTTTGATCCTATCAGATGCACAACATAATCTTCGAAGCATGGATATTTCGTTTTGGCGTTGATGGACGCGGATACTTTTTAGATGACCCAATATAATACCTCTTTGATCCCACCAGATGCACAACATAATCTTCGAAGCATGGATATTTCGTTTTGGCGTTGATGGAGCTGGTTCACCTGGCATCCCATATCTTCAAGCGTTTAGGGTTATCATAGTAGATTCATTTTTCATCGCCAGTTACGATACAATGTAGAAAACCCTTCCTTTGTTGTCATTGACGAAGCATCTCGCAGATGACCAAACGTCTTTCTATGTCTTTCTCTTTCAATTTGTATGGCACCCAATTTCCTTCTTTTTGCACCATTCCCATTGCGTGTAGACGTTTTCCAACAGTGGATCTATTAACATTTAATTCTTTTGTCAACCTATCGAGCGATAAATACGAATCTTCTTCGAGTAATGCTTGCAATTCTGCATCTTCAAATTTTTTCACACCTTCGTGTTCTTTGTCACCCACGTCAAAATTACCACTGTTGAATCGCCATGAAACCATTCTTTACAACTAGTTTTCGATGGAGCATGCTTACTGTAAATATCTACGAGCAAACGATGCGTTTCCGCAGTACTTTTCTTTAAAATAAAATAATGAAGTAAAACTTCCCGCAAATGTTGCTTTTTTGGAATAAATTCCGACATCTTCAACGCAAAAAAAGTTACTCTTTGTTACGCTTCGAACAAATGCCATCTATTGGGCTCAAAAGTTTGAACACACACCTTTCAAAAACATGTCTTGCCCTTCTATCAAACACACAAGTGTGGCTATTGGAGCGACTGCTGTGCAATATGGCGCCGATGGTTACCAACCAAAGGCGAAGGACAATTGGCGGGAAATCGTTAGGTTGAGAATGAGTGCTACTCACTGCTCCTGATTTTTATGTCATAAGGCGATTTAATACAAACTTAATATTAAACTAACTAAATACTAAATACAAATATAGATTAAAAAATAGAGACGTGATTGCGCGTGTAAGACGGCTCGGATACCGGCATTGTGTCGCGGAGTTACAATACAAGAACTATGAAAATACACTCAAAGTAATTCTCTGACGACGCTAATAATTATCATAGACATGAACAGTGATCGGTATCGGTCTCGCGAAATACACAAAGTAATTCGGAACCTCAACTTCTGAGTTCTAACTTACTGACTATCGCAGAGACTTACACAAGGTCCGCATGCGGCACGCCATGACATCAAAGAGAGTGAACGGAAGAAGAAACGGAAAGAACTACATCAGCGCCGCGACGGACGCATGCAGCGCCGCCACTGGCGCTCGCAGCACCGCAGCTAACGTTTGCAGCGCCGCGACTAACGCTCGCAACGCCACACGAGCAATGCTACTAACGACATCTTTCTGCAATGGGCGGAAACTTATTCCCATATCCAATATGATTTTCTAACCTGAAAATAGTCGTTATAATATTAAGATTAAATATTAGATAATAACTGATTGGATGTTCAGTTGAACTGCACACATTTCTATCAGGTATATTGAACAGATGTATCATAACTATACATTCATGATTATACAGGTATTTGTAGATCATCGAAGTGCAGCGATTTCCATATGGTTTCAGAAGTCAAGAATAGTGGATGGCGGTATGCAATTGGATGGGTAACCGTTTCAAAGCACTATAAAATTAGTCTTTTTTCTGAATTTAGGGGAAAACGTTTTTTTTTATTATAATTTAAATATGTGTATTCTGAAATAAGATATTAATCAATAATAATACTCATATAAAAATTATTTTGTTTTAATTGTGGTCTTGTTTAATATATTAATTTAATTCAGTTTTAGTTCATTCCGACCTAAAATGGATGTTTTTAAGAAATCCAAAATGGTAACACTGGATGTCTTTAAAACATTTTTTTAATATTCATAAATCTAATCTGGATGTTTTTAATATGTCCAAAACGTCCAACATGTACGTTTTTTTTTAAATATATTTTTAAAACGTTGTGCTATCCGGCTGTATGACATTGTAGTTGTGTTGTATTGGGTCATCTAAAAACCGCGGATACTTTTTAGATGACACAATATTTCGCATATAATACTATCCAATATTGACAACTGCCTTATTCTTGGAGTTACAGCCACGTATGTGCAGAACAAAACTATATCCCTTGTTTTCTGCTACTGTCGCTACTGTATGTAGTTACAGTGATTACGATCTTATGCATTTCATGTGCAATAGGCTTTAATATAGAAAGTTAGTCATTTCTTAGTGTGAAAATTTCCGAGACAGAATCAATGGATGCATTCAGAAGCACGACCGATTACTGAGTGCTCAGTGAGCTCTTGTATCTGTTTGGTCTATGATTTTAAATCTAATGAAATTTGCAAGAGCTCATTGGCCTAGCTTATATCGTGCACTTGATACGCGTATCAGATACTATATTCGTACCAAATTCGTACTAAACATTTAAGTCCGTATTCAGAGCTTTTATCGATAAAATTGCACTTTTATGTATACTATGAAATTCTATAGTATACATGATGTAAATTATAGCATGTTAGCGCGCTAATATCTTTGTAAGCATTCTGAATACAAGTATTAGTATGATGTAAACGCTGTCGGATTATTTTGGTATGAGCAGAAGTATCGTACTAAACTGATACGCGTATTAAAATGATACAAATGACGATGTAAACGCATGAAACAATTTGGAAGAAATCGAGAGCTGTATTCCATTACATGCATAACCCGTCATGCTATCCCATGCGCATTAAGCGTGCAACAGAATCTAGTAACCTCAAAATCAGTGTTAATCGTATTATTTTTCTTCTCAACATCGTGATAATATTGGTATGCGTGTTAAATTTAATACGCACTGATGCTTTAATATGTTTGATGTAAACGCATTCGTACTATCGCATTAGTGCACATCAAATTTAATACGCGTACCAATAGTATAGTATAACTACATACACAGTAGCGAAAGTAACAGAAACGAGGGATACAGGTTCTGTTTTGCGCATACATGACTGTAAAACCGAAAATGGCGACTGTCATAGCATTGGATAGCATTATATGCGAAAACTATAACGTTACTACAACGTTTCTTGATTGGTTCAGTTCGTAAAACCTTCAACATAGCTGACAGTGATTACTGACATCAAAGGAGCCGACAGCTACTGTCGCTACTGTAGTTATACTGTGGCATAAGCATAACATAAAACTATTAAACCAATGAGCATTCAAGTTGCCATATTGATTTACATAAAATGCTTCTTGGTCTAGCGATCTTATGTTATGTTCATGCACTGTTATTCATTTCATGTGTTTGGGGCATTAGACAAGGGCTCAGATAATTAATGTGCATGGATTTGATTATTGTACATGGACTATAAGCATTTATGTAGAAATTATGTAGAATGTGATCATTTCTTAGTTGGTTTGTTTTCTGTTCCTATACTTTCTTTCTCGCTTTCGACAAATATCAAACATATGCTTATCTCACTTTAAGTTTTAAGAATATATATATGTACATACACTACTTCAGCCACAAAAAACTGATTTAGGCTGGTATTCATAATCGATTCTTATATTCAAGATCGTCTTAAGTACAATCTTATGATGTTATGAACCAATCAGAGGACCGTATTCGCGTCTTGAGATATTACTTAATGCATGGTCTACAATGACAGTATCAGTAATGGATGAGGCTGTAAGAGTAAGAAATTGACCAATCACAGTCGATTATTCTTCTCACATTCAACTGTGATTGGTCAATTTGTTACTTTTACAACCTCATCCACTACTGCTACTACCATTCTAGACCACGCATAAGAGAGTCTTCAAATAAGAATTGACTACGAATACCGGTCCTAGTATGTTAAAATTTCTGAGAGATAGAATTGATGACTGTGGATGTATTGTATTGGGTCATCTAAAAAGTATCCGCGGTACTTTGTCACTAGATATATGACCATCAACACATATCTAGTGCCAAAAAACCGCAGATACTTTTTAGATGACTCAATATATATCAAATCAAGTGATCTGGTTTCTGTTTATGCACTAGATTGCACTAGAATTTTCTTTCTCGCTTTTGAGAAAGAAAGTTCTAGTACAGTCTAGTGTTGAAACAGAAAACAGATCACTTGATTGGATATGAACACCCATAGTCATCAATTCTATCTCTCAGAAATGTTCACATACTAGGATATTTATAGTTATTTTAGTTGTTATTTTAAACATATGCCTATCTCACTTTACTCCCTAAACGCAATAAGCCTTAAAATTGACCAATCATAGTCGATTATTTTTCTCATATTCGACTATGATTAATCAATTTCTTAAGACTTAATAAGATTTATTATTCTATCGTTGCTGACTCTCATTAGCTTACTATATTTATCTTTTTGTATTGCTTAATATCTAATTTCTATTCCTCTATTGTGCTCAGGCCCTAACAGTAACCATAAAACATATAAAAATTAGCCAATCAGAATTAAGAGTTCAAAAGAAATTATAATTCAAAATATACAGAGTATTCAAAAAGATTGGGACCTCTTATGAGCTCCAAAAATACACTTTCAAAGTGACCCGAATAAAAGTTGCAAAGGTCAAAACGATTTATTTACTGATATTATCAGTTTGACTTTATGATTAGGTGGCGTTATCAAGGTCATATCGATTTTTTAAATACCTCGTTTTTCATTTCATATTCTAATAGCACATCTAAACATCTTTTCAAAATACTATAATAAAATATTTTTTCATGAAGTACTTTTTGAGTTATAATGCTTGAAAGTTACAGTATTGTCAGTATTAGCATTGCCCAAAATATTCAAACAATGGTTAAAACTTCTTGAATATTGTTTAGAATTATGACTGGATAATATTTGTCAAGATCAAGGCCGTTGCAGGTTGTTTCATTCTTATTTTCATTTCTACATAAAAATTATTCACAAAATGTTAACATTTTAAGAATGGAACATTACAATTCACAAAACATTGACATTCTAAGAATGGATTTGGACACGGACACAAAACGCATAATTCTGATATCTTATTTTATTATTCAATGAATAACAAAGAAAAATGACGCATCATGCGTAACACGGAACACACCCTGTAATCCCTGTATTACAATGAAAAGTTGATTATTTTGACGACACATATAAACCGACGATATTACACGATAATTTGATTATTTTGACGATAATAAGAAAATAGTTCACGAAATGGATATTAGTGCACAATAAAGTAAAAATCAGAAAAGGGAATATAAGCAGGATATAGTTAAATTCTTTATCTATTTACTTTACAGAAGCTTTCATATGTTTACATTTTTATTAATTTGACGATAGTCGTCAAAAGGTACTTCTACTTAACGTTTGCAAACATCAGTTTTATTCAGTTTAATCTAAATTTTTACAAAATTTAAATTTACGCACATATGTAAAAAACTATAAAAATTTTACTTAGGACATTTTTTCATATATCTTATTCTTCCAACGACTTACTTACGTATGTGAGTATGGATAGCGTATATACGGAAACGTTAATAATTAATTCTCGAATATGATATGTCGTAATGTAACATTATTACACATTGTTGAATTTATAAAAAAATAATCTTCAATTTGATAAAAAAAATTGAAAATTTAAAAAAATTATGGGTGATAGGAGTATTTTTAAACAAAAAAATAAAAAAATTTTTTTTCTTTATAACTTTAAAGTACTCTTAAAACCGTACAACTTTTATTTAAAAATGTTTTTTCTATCTCTTATATTTCCGACGATATTCGAAAGAAAAATACTATTTTTTTTTTCAAAGGGGTGTTTCACCCCCTAAACATAAGTTGCACGCATTATGCACATAAGTGGCGAGGGTGGTACAGGAAAAAGTTTTCTCATTGAAACGATTAAAGAATAGATCAGAATACATTTGAACAAAACGACTGCGATATCTGCTCCCACGGGTATCGCGGCATTCAATATCGATGGTTTGACGACTCATAGAATGTTTTAGCTATCCGTCATTCATGAATCTAAAGTATACGCATTTGTTAGACATGATCTTGAAAACTGAGAGACAAATTAAAGACTGTCGAATTATTTATAATTCGATGAAGTATCCATGATTTTGAATGTGATACTTATGTTTATCAATGTACGATTATGTGAAATCTTTGATACAACAGATACAGATGATGGTTTCTTTGGCAGAAAACACATTCTTTTGTTTGGAGACTTGTTGCAGCTTCCCTCTATAAAAGAACAATCTCCTTTCGTTAAAATGTCTCGATCAGAAATTCAGAAGGTATCATGAATTATATATTTAATTATATTTAATTATATATTTAGGTATCATGAATTTGTGGAGATTGTTCGATTACGACGAACTCTTGATTAATGCGACAAAGATGCAACAATACATATCGTGATATACTTTCTAGAATACGAATAGGTTTGGTAACGGATTCCGACATCAATGTTCCTCAATCGAGAAAAATCCATTTCAAAGGGAGTAATTGCAATCAAAGATTGAATGAACTTTGCATTTATATATGAATCAATTACCGGTTGATACAATTTGTTTATTATCCATGTGTTATTTGTACAAGGTTTTGAACACGGCAATGCTCGACAAAATTGACGGTGATGAAATTCTACTGATAGCAGAAGATAATATCGATTGTGCTCCAGAATGAAAAAAAGAGTGCATAAAATTTTGGAAGACAAAGATGACAAAGTTTCGAAAACAACTGGCATTGAAAGAATAATAGCAATTAAAATTCGCGCTAAAGTGATGATTCGACGAAACTTTGGGACTTGTCAATGTAATGATAGGCAATGTAGTTGCAGTTAATTGTTCTGTTGACGGAAATCATATTGATTCCATTAAAATAGTTATAACAAAGAAATCACAATAACGAAATTAGATATTAAATTCGAAGTATTCCACAAAATGGTGGTACATCGGAAACAATTTCCATTGTCTCTCAGTTATGGACTAACTATACACAAAAGTCAAATAATTACGTGTAAAAATGCAATGATGGATCTAAGAACGAGTGTGTTCAATGATGGTCAAGTCTAGGTTTGTCACGAGTGAGTACACTGGAAGTCCTACATTTGATAAATTTTAATCCAGCATCCATTAAAGCAATCTCGGAAGCCATTGTAGAATATAATCGATTGAGATCTGTGTTCAAAGTTCAGCTATCACAGTTCATCAAATCCATTCGTCCGAGAAAAAAAGTTGCGAAAATTCACGACTGTTGATGGGCCATACCTGATGTCATTGATGATGTACAAAATTATTATTGCGAGGAACCAGAAAGTATAGTTACATGGAAAATAAGCCTCTGCAATGACGATCATGTTTCGTGTTATGCTAATGTAATATTGCAATGTGCGTTTCATTGTGTACGTATCAAGCAATAAATACTGAAAAATAAAGTATCGAACGCATTGACTGATGCTATCTGCGCTACGCTGAGCGTAAGCGCAACATTCTAATGGTTAGAAGATCTGTCGAAGAACGCTTCGAAGAATGAACACAACAAGATGTTTCGGAATTTATCAATGATGTATTAGAACTCGAATTGAAGCACGTAACATCTTGTTCAAATGCCAAATGTAATTATAATGTAACTATGCTGGAAAAGAATTGTTTGCTAATATTACCTATATAGTCGACATTAAAATGGAAAAAAGATGTCACTCTGCAAATTCTGATTGATTTAGAATTTTTGAAACGAAAAATAAAGAAACAATAAATGACGATTGTTACGAATGTAAGGGGGGAAAAAGAAAACTGTAATCGAATCGACTTTATCCGTCTTATCCGAGAAGTATTGTCACGATTAATAAAAAAAGGTACAAGGAAATAAACGCTATATTTCACGAGGAGGGAGAAATGTATCATGGTATCACAACACGTGTATGTTGAGAGTAGACAAAAAGTCGGAATGGTGTTACTCTAATGATTTAAAAGTTATCAAGAAAAAATGGCGTAAAGGAGCACAAGGGGCATACATGCTGTTCTTCGAACAGACTAAGTAAGTTTAGAAATAACTTTTACATATAATGACACTTTCTTGGAGAACGAAATTCTTCTGATACGTTTACGTGAACCTTAATAAACTATTGAGGTTTATAACGAAATTTTATTTTCAAAATATTGAATTAATCGTCTGCTTTGGCGCTGTATAAAGATAGTCGTAAGCGCTGAAATAAAGCATCAGTTGCTCTGGCACCGTATAAATGCTGTCGTAAACATTAAAACATCGACTGCTCTAGCGCTGTATAAGAGTTGCCGTAAACGCGAAAATAATACATCAGCTGCTCTGACGCTGTATGTAGGCTGCCGCCTACATTAAAAGCGCCACATTAAAACGAATACAATAAAGTTTTAGCTTGTCCTAGATATCGATATATTACTATAAATAACAAAAATTTCTTATTGTAATCGAAGAATTTCATGATATTTCAAAACATTATTAAGAAATATATCTTTATGTCTAAGATCGTGTTAAAATCGAAGAGATGAAGAAAATGTGATTGCGTTCTCACGAGAATGAGCGATGGAGGGGCCCATTCTTTATTTTTAGTATATTCATATAATCCTCATGATCTAGATTTTAATGGGTCATGGATGCTTTAAGGCTTACCTTTTTGAGATACAACGTAACGCGTCGCCGATTTGTGCGCATTGTCGTGTGACTGCGGATACGGCGATGCATATGCTGTTGTTTTGTCCATCTTGGGCCGCAGAGAGGACGTCACTTTTTGAGGGATTGGGGCACGATGTCCTTGACAGGACATATGGCATTGTCAGGATAGTTATGTGCTCTGCTGCGTATTGGACGGCCCTCGCAGATTTCTGCGATGCAGTTATGCGCAAGACGGAGCAAGCCGAGTGGGAGCATCAGGCTCTAAAGAAACAAAGAGCTTTTTTAGATCGGGCCTACTGAGGTCTGACGACAATCATGTGTAAAAATGTATATATAATGTACATATTTAGGATAATATTTAATATAGGATAGGATTTTAGCTTTAAGTAGTATACTGGATCATGGAGGTGAGAGCGTATACTCCACTACTTGGATGCATCCTGATGAAATGCCGCTAGGTAGATGGTTCCGAGGTGTGCCCAATGTGATCTTGCGGAGGTGCTGAATAGGGAAAGTTTTTTTAGCAAGTAGACGATGATGTCCACTGTCCTTCCGTATAGGAGGGACGCAGACCTACCGAATCCTGCACAATCAGGAGACCGGTTTCTGAGTGTTTTCCCCTCTTGTTAGGTTCTCCTTCGGGAGCATCCCGGATGAGGAGCTGTGAAGACTTTCCTCCTCCTCGCAAACAAAAAAAAAGCCATATTCATACATTTAATTAAAAGTTCATTCTGTTGCAATGAAAATAAATATTAATGGTTGTTATAATAAATATTAATAAATATTAATGTTAAAATCGGAGAGACGAAAAAAATATGGTTGCGTCCTCACGAGAATGGGCGATGTAGGGACCTATTCTTTATTTTAAGTATTAGGTGTACAATTTTGCTTCCGTCGTTTTTTTTTCCGAAATTCGAGGCTTTATTGTAAAAAACTGGTTATACATTTATGATTCAAAGTATTATCCATCGCTGGTCACTACTTTTTCCCATCTTTCGGGTAGCGTACGAATCCTGCGTCGAAAAAACTGGTCATCTTTTGAGGCGATCCACGAATCGATTCAATTTTTTACTTCTTCATAAGATCGGAAGTGCTGGTCAGCCAGGCCGTGTGCCATTGATCGAAACAAGTGATAGTCAGAGGGAGCAACGTCTGGAGAATAAGGCGGATGGGGTAGGACTTCCCATTTCAACGTTTCCAAGTATGTCTTGACCATTTTCGCAACATGGGGTCGAGCATTGTCATGCTGCAAAATCACTTTATCGTGTCTCTCGTTGTATTGCGGCCGTTTGTCTTTCAATGCTCGGCTCAAACGCATCAATTGCGTTCGCCTATGATTGTTTCAATCGGTTTTAAAAACTCATAATACACTACGCCGAGCTGGTCCCACCAAATACAGAGCATGACTTTGCAGTCGTGAATATTCGGTTTGGCCGTCGACGTGGAAGCATGACCAGGAACTCCCCATGATTTTCTGCGCTTGGGGTTATCGTAATGAATCCATTTTTCGTCCCCAGTCACAATGCGGCGCAGAAATCCCTTCTGTCTTTGTCTTTCAAGCAGCTGTTCACAAGCAAACAAACGCCGGCTTCAACATCTCTCGGCTTCAACTCGTACGGCACCCAATTTTCTTGCTTCTGAATCATTCGCATAACTTTGAGGCGTTTTGAAATGGCTTGTTGAGTCACTCCCAATGATCCCAATGATTGAGTCACTGCCAATTCTTTTTGGTTTTGACACGAGTCTTGATCAAGTAATGCCTCCATTTCTGCATCTTCGAAAACCTTCTCTCTTCCACCGCTATGCCGACGTTAAAATCACCGTTCTTGAAGCGTTGAAAATCACTCATGACACGTTCTTTCACTAATAGCGGCCTCACCATAAGTATTTGAGAGCATTCGATGAGCCTCAGCCGCAGATTTCTTCATATTGAAGCAGAAAATTAAAACTTCCCGCAAATGACGAGAATTTGGCTCGTAAACTGACATTTTCAATCGAGAATAACTTTATGATGCAGACACAAATCGATTAATGTTTCTATGGGGTTATGTTGACAGATGTTCAAGTTTATTGTATGACGTCTATGATCTATTTATTTCGACCACCATTTATCGTTAAAGCCATCTATAGGAAAACGGCGGAAGCAAAGTTGTACACGTAATATTAGGTGTACAAATAAGTTTCCGCTGTTTTTTGATCAAAAATTAAGCATTTATTGTGAAAGAACGATACATAATGTTTTATTGAAAGTATTGTCCATCGCTAGCCACTACTTTTTCCCATCTTTCTGGTAGCATACGGATACCGCGTTGGAAGAACGCTTCATCTTTTGAGGCTATCCAATTATCGATCCAATTTTTGATATCTTCATATGATGTGAAGTGCTGCTCAGATAGGCCATGCGCCATCAATAGAAATAGATGGTAATCGGGAGGGGCAATGTCTGGTGAATACGGTGGTGGGGTAGAACTTCCCAATTGAGTGTTTCCATGTAGATTTTGACCGGCGCCGCAACATGTGGTCGAGCATTATCATGCAGGAGAATAATTTTGTCATGTCTGGAGTAGTAGTGGGCGCGTTTTTCCTTAAGTGCTCGGTTCAATCTCATTAATTGTGTTCGGTAGAAAGCGCCAATAACGGTTTCGTTCGGTTTGAGCAACTCATAATACATGACATCAAGCTGATCCCACCAAATACACAACATGAGTTTTTTTCCATGAATATTCGGCTTGGCTGTCGATGTTGAAGCATGGCCAGGTGATCCCCATGATTTCCTCTTCTTTGGGTTATCGTAGTGGATCCATTTTTCATCACCAGTGATTATACGATGTAAAAAACCCTTTCGTTTAAGCCTGACAAGCATTTCACATATGAAAAATCGGCGTTCAACGTTTCTCGGCTTCAGTTCATATAGAATCCAATTCCCTTGCTTTTGAATCATTCCCAATGATTTCAAACGATGTGAAATTGCTTGTTGAGTCGCTCCTAAT